TCCTCCCACCTCCGTCGGAGTCCACCGAGACACCTCGACGACCCCGGTAACCTCCTCCCACCTCCGACAAGCTCAGATAGCGGCGAAAAGCTCCGAACAGCGAAGAACAAACCCGAACGGCGAGAAATTGCACTGCAGAAAACTGTAGTTTTGTGTCGACTTCGCACGCACTTTCCGATCACCTCCAATCTTTATTTCTATCGATTTCTTCTTTAGTGAGTAGCCCTACATGTTGCCTATCACCTCCAATTTGTATCACGTTCTAACTCATTTTCTATCTCTCTCGGTAACGTCCGAAACATCGCTCGACGGCAGCAGCGCCATGCCGACTTCGCGCGAGTTTTTCGGTCACCTCCGGTCTCCGTTTTCACCACCGTTATCGCCAGTGTGTAGCCCTTTATATTGTCTATCACACGGTATCTTTTTTCACATGGGCTCATTTTCTAATTCTCGTTATATCGCTTCGAATATTATTAGTTCTAACTTACCCCAACTAGCTAGAACTAACATTGGACGTGTTAGAACTAAGATGTGGCAGGTTAAAATTAACATGAAGCAAGTTAAAATTAACTTGAGAGTTCAAGAGCCTGAAACTAAGATGAATTAGAGCTAAAACTAGTTAGAACTAACATAGAGCGGACTAGAACTAACATGGGACGGGTTAGAACTAACATGGGGTAAATTAGAAAAGCTCCTCCCACATCCGACGGAGCCCATCGAGATACCCCGACGACCCCGGCAACCTCCTCCCACCTCCGGCAAGCCCGGACAGCGGCGAAAAGCTCCGAACAGCAAAGAACAAACCCGAACGGCGAGAGATTGCACTGCAAAAAACTACAGTTTTGTGCCGACTTCGCACGCACTTTCCGATCACCTCCAATATCCGTTTTCGCCGATTTCTTCTTTGGTGACTAGCCCTATATGTTGCCTATCACTTCCAATTTGTATCACGCTCTAACTCATCTATCTCTATCGGTAGCGTCCGAAACATCGCTCGATGGCAGCAACGAGCAGAAAACAGCAGCGCTGTGCCGACTTCGCGCGTGTTTTCTGGCCATCTCCGGTCGTCGTTTTCACCACCGTCTTCTTCGGTGTGTAGCCCTTTATATTGTCTATCACACGGTATCTTCCTTTCACTTGAGCTTATTTTCTACCTCTCGTTATATCGCTTTGAATATTATTAGTTCTAACTTGTCCCAACTAGTTAGAACTAACATGGGACGAGCTAGAACTAACATGGGACGGGTTAGAATTAACATGGGGTAAGTTAGAACTAACTTGAGAGCCCAAGAGCTCAAGAACTAAGATTTCGGCTATAAGATCAAGACACGGTTATTTTTCCCGATTGGAAAAAAAAAGAAAAGAAATTAAGGGTGTTGTTGGTTCATCAACAGAGGAGAGTCACAAGTAAAAAAACATAGAAGACATTAAAAATCTCGTTAGAATTGAAGTCAAAACTAGCCATGTCATTCACTTTCTTCTTTGACTTCAAAATCCGCCATTACGTCTACGAGCCTCAATATAAAAATATAATTTTGATTTATGTAAATCACGAGACTTTCGTGAGCCCTTGTTTTTCTGACACAAGGCTAGTCACACATAAGAAACAAATGAACTGAATACTTAATTAAACTCCATGATTTTCCTCTCATATCCAGCAAACATAACAGGTCCGTTGCGACAAACTCGAGGGCGAGGCTTAGGGGCCTGGGCGGAGGCGGCGACGGCGATGGCGAGGAGGGCGAGGGCCAGGGCGACGAGCTTGAGAAAGCCCTTGGTTTTAGAGAGAGGGGAGAGAGAGAGAGGGGATGAGAGATCTGGGTTTGAGGGATTGAAGAGAGGGGATAATGTTATTTTGAGGATTTTAGCTTAGTTGGCTTGTAATAATTGCTAAAAAAGGGTTGCAGTACAAAGTGTCACACTTCAAAGGGCTGAATCACATGGGGAAAACTAAGAGGGGCTACAGCACATGCAGTTTCTGTTTTTAGGGTATGGACCAAGGTTTTAAATGTCGGCCGACATGTCCGACATGTCGGTCGACATATCGGTTTGAGGGCTTGACCGACACGACATGGACGTTTTCAACTCGTATGTCGGTTTGCAGGGCCAAATCGGAAATACGAGGGTCATATCGGGCATATCGGCCTATTTTTTAGCTTTGAAAAATCGACCGATATGGTACTTTTTTTTAAGGTCTGTTTTTTGTTATCGGATTTGGGTTTAGTGATAATTCCCAAACCCGTTTGACCCGTTCTCATGTTTAAGGGTTTCTTATGAACCCGATAGAAAGAATTTATGAACCCAAATCCATATATTATGTACTTTTTATATGTTTAGTTTATAGAATTTATAAAGTATGCTTATATTGAATTTATGAATGCTTAGATTACATTTAGGACATGATATTATACATATTCGCACTACCCGATATGACAATCCGATATTTAGTCAATGTCCCCCGATATATCCCCGATTTCCGCTATCCGACATGAATTTCAGTCATCCGACATGAACCCGACATCCGACATTTAAAACCTTAGTCTGGGCACATTTTTCCCAAAAAGTTTTCATATTCGGTTTATGAGATATTTTGAGAATACATCAAGAGTTTTTGAGCTTGTTATTTGACTTGAATAACGCACACATTTATTCTTTATATGCAAAAATGTGCATTTATGCTAACAAATATGTCAAACAAAAGAGTGTATTCGTTAAAAGATGATCAAACATCCACACTTTTAAAGAAATCCACGGAAAATTGAGTGTATTTGCTAAAAGATCGTAAAAAACCCACACTTGAGTATTTGTGCAAATCTCAAGGGTCACCATCTTGTACTGATCATTTTTATATTTAGAGATAATGTGAATCGCTGACCAAACACTATTGTTCTTCCTCCTAAATTCTATACGGTTGAGATGACTTTAGCCTTTAGTTTCTAAGATTGAGTTAGTTCAAGTTTTATTATTGCTCAATATTCTCTTTGATATATCTGAATTTGTCAAATGAACTAGTATAATTTTTTTTACTATTTGTTTCATATACTTTACAGTGATATTTAATCATTTTGTGTGTGATGTTTGATATAATTTCTCCCGTATTCATGTGTTTTGTGATTGGATTTTAATCATTTGTGCTATTTTTTTGTAAATTTCTGTGTGAACTGGTGTGTATTTTTATTCCTTACACTTTTGGATGATTTTTATTTGGAATGTTCAAGTATAAAGTATAGCTATTAGTGTGTTTTTCATCTTTTGTTAATAATAAAAGGGGAGAAGATTTGGCTTGAATTTTCTTTACATGAGTGGAGTTTTTTCAAACTAAGTGTTTTTCAAGTGGTTTTATGTTTCAGTTTGCTTTGAATTTTTTTGACACACGATGCATTGTTTTAGGGGGAGTTGGTATTATACATGTACGTGTTTACACTTTTCATAAATGCATGAATGTAGGGGAGTATTGCATCTCTCTTCTTTTTACATGAAAGTATATTTGTACTTATAATTGCTATTTATATATCTTAAATATGCCTATATTTCGGTATTTCAAATTTCAAGTTTGTTGTTACCAACAAGGAGAGATTATTAGGGCGTAGTTCGTATAATAGCTCTTGTTTGAGTAATAATAAATTCTTATTTGGTGCTAATATTTAATTGAGATGATATAGGACAAGTGAAAATAGGTATAAGAATGTTATGAGGCGAAACATCACGAAAATGAACATTTACGCTGATTTTAGCCTTAAAACCATCGATGGTCAAGAGTACCCATCGGTGGTGTACTAGAACTTATTACAAAAATCCAGAAAGTTGATTTCAAACCACCGATGATCTACAATGACCCATCGATGGTCCTCATCTCATCGATGATGTACGGTGACCAATTGCAAATTTAAAAAAACATGAAATCAAACCATCGATCGATGATTTATAGGCATCAATCGATTGGTTATGGACCTACTAATGATCGTGTGGAACCATCGACGGTGACGATGGTTTTTGGCAGATTTAAAGAGTTGATGACAACAGTTTATTGATCCCTTTCATCTTCAACTTTCACAATGACTTGGATCTCTTTCCTGATTAATTAGAGGTTATATAAGATTGAAAGAGACAGATTAAAAAGGGAGAGCTTTTGAGAGAACTTGAAAAGAGAATTTCTAGGGTTTGTGGGAAGAAGTTTGGATTAGAGATTTGATCCCCCAGAGCCTCAGCAAACTCTTTCTTGTTGTGCTCAACATCTTTGGATCATTTTAGCAAGATGATTGCCCTTAGACTCAACATTTATATTGTTTTTTCATTAAGCTTCGCTTCAATCTTTTGAAGGACGGTTTGTTTATTCGAAAGGGCTGTAGAATCTTTCTGATTTTGTGCTTAAACTATTTTTGGTTATTTATTTCAAACTTGTTTTTACGGCGTACTCAAGCCGTCTATAATTGAGGGTTAATACTAGTTAGGGCTAGGTATAGGCTAGACGACTGTTTCAGGTAGATTTTAAGGTGCAGTTTTATAAACCTATTGAATCGGGTTGTGATTTAGGAGAACTCTTGGTATAGTGAGGAAGCCCCTTCATGAAAAGGAAGAGTGAACATAGGGTTATTATTTAAACCACTATAAATCTCGCGTGTTCCGGGTTGGTTTGGTTGTTCACTTTTATTTTTCTATTTTTTCGCTGCATATTCTATGTTCTAGAATGCTAGTAAACCTAGTCACCCCCTCTAGGTTTGCATCTGATATCCAATAGAAGAAACATCTTTTCTTATGAATATAGCAATTACTGTTCCATTATACTAAGCTTCTAGAAATGATTCATCAATGAGCTAGATTGATGTTTTTCTCGAGGCCTTTCAGTGGTGTTTATTCCTTGCAGATATATAGAGTG